GTACAGAAACCTTCCGGTTTCCGGATCCACAGGGGAACCAACTAATCCGGAATCGAGTCGGGTAGGACCACAAGGGCGGCAAAGCTCTCCCTCAAGAGTTTTAACACTGCTGCATTCTCAGGGCTCGAACTCGAGACCACTGGTTAAGCTGGAAGAGACTCAAACCATCTCATCCAAGCCTACCAAGTTAACTTTGTAATACTAAATTACCGCGTCACTTGCACTTTCTTTATAGAAAAGAATAAAGTTATAAATGTTATTTAATGAGAAAATTTAATTTATAAATATTAATAAATATATTTTACTCGTGTATCGCACGGGATTCGTACTAGTTCATTTGGTAAGTCATTGTATATTCACATATAGTATATTAAATAATTTGTTAGGATATTCACGCATAATATATCGGTATGATCAAGAAAATCTATATCTTTAGAGGTTCAGATTCATTATTATTTGGTAATAATATATTGGCATATTTGCGCATGATATTGCTTACATAAAGATGGTAGTATGCTAATTATTTCTAAGTTACACAAATTTAAATAATAATATTAATAATAATTCATATCATGGTAAGTCATACAAGTCTATATCTTTAGAGAATCACGGATCATTTGTCAGTGATAAATTTTGTGTCATTTCATTGGTTTATAATTCATTATTTGAGTTAATTAATATTCATATTCTATTATTAGTGTCTACCTCATATAATTGGTTTGATCTTGATTTCAGAAATGATTGCAGTGCATATAAGTTAAAAATTATTTTCTAATTAATATAAACATATTACCATCTTTATATAAGTTATAAATTATTTATTAATTGATATAAACATATTACCAATCTTTATGTAAGTTAAAAATTATTTAGTTAATATAAACATATTAGTACAACACCCGTGTATTACACGGGTGCTTGCTAATTTTTTTCTTAAAATTTAAAATTAATGAGAAAAAGTAGTTTGAAAATTTAAGTACCTTTTATAAGAATATATATATATTTATATATTATATTTATTACGATACTTTTTATTTGTGCGACTTACTTGTGTTATATTATACTAATTTTTTAACTTACATTATATAACTACATTAAATATAAATATATCAATTGAGAAATAGTTTTATTTTTTTGATGAATTTTAATAAATATTATTATTTTTTATTATTATAAAGATAAATATAATTTTTATTTTATATATACAATATGGATGTCAAATCGAAGATCATCAAAAGATGATTAATTTGATATATTATATATGTAAAACCGATAAGAAATACAAAAGTTATCTACTTTTAAAATACATTTATAATTCAATAGCTTATTGAAGGAAGCAAATCAAAATTTAGGGATATATTAGTCACTTCGTGCTTCACTATGTAAAATTACAAATAATTAAAGGGTTATATTAGTAAAAGTGATATTAAAATACCTAAGTTAGCTAAATAATATTTATGGAATACCCGAACCTAGATTATTAATTATTAATATATTAATATTATTTGTCCAAACCTAATTACGAAGCATGATTCTTCGCCAAATAGGATTCCGAAGCACCAGAAGCAGCCACGTGGGCTCAGCGCATTCGTGAATTATATATAGGGAGGATTATCATCTTTACGTGTGATGTGATTATATAACAATCAGGGGCGAAACCACATATAACGTGGGAGAGGCGTCGGCCCTTCTGA